TAACTAAATTACTTTTATGTTCTTATTTATTTTTTGTTAGAATTAATTATTTAAGGTATTATTTAATGAAATGTATGGCCCATATATATTCTCTTGTTTTCTTAAATACGTATCATTCTCGTATGAACCCAGCTCTGTCTCTCTCTCTCTCTCTCTCTCTCTCTCTCTCTCTCTCTATATATATATATATATATATATAGGGTCAGGTTCAGGGGAAACCACAAAAAATTGAAAAATTGAGAAACACCCCGGTAACCATTCATGTGGACAGTATGCGCATGTGCATACAAGTAATTTATAAGCAATTTGTCAGGTATGCACATGTGCATAGAAACCAAGAAACAACTTCAATTACTTGTATGCACATGTGCATATCGTACAAATGAATGGTTACTGGGGTGTTTCTCCGTTTTTCATTTTTTTGGGGTTTTCCCGAGAACCTCCCTATATATATATATATATATATATATATATATAGACTACAGATGAGGATATAAAAGCATTAGTAGGTCTCTTACATTGTTCCATAACATCAAACGTGAGCATATTGAAGAATATATGATTATAGTAGACTTACCTTGCCTGATACATTGGATTTAATAGATTAGTATCAAAGCTTCGAACCTGCATAATTTGAGAAAACTATAGATTAACAGTAGATCAAGGAGTATTTGAACTTAATTTTTAGTAACCATGTTCAATTCTTTACAAAATTAGCAAAATGATTAGATTGATGACTACAAAGACATAATAAAGTTAAGCAATTCTTCTAAGGTATCATACCTACAAACTAAGCAATCATACCATGAGATACGAGGCTAAGGGAATGTTCTTTTTCCATTAAACCATTTTACAGTACTTATTATGTTTTTAGTATTTATCAAAATTTAAAAGCTAAAACAGAAAAGTATAACTATTTAAACACAAATTTATACTAAGATGTCATACCATTATTACAAAAAGTAATTATCAAATTTTTTGTCAAACATTTAAATTATGGAATAAGGCCATGGTTATAGGTATTTATTAAATTTCAACTCCTACATACAAGGCATTTCACATGAAGTAAGATATACAGATGACTTCTCGACAATTTTATATTTTTTTGGCAAGCACGTTCAAGAAGAATGAATCATACCGCAACAACCACAAGATTGGCAGGGGATACTGCTATGCCTGAGCATCCATCGGACACGTTAGGGACCTGCCAAGAAAAGATTGATGGTGTAAGTCCATATACTCCTCCGACCCAAAATAGATGCAGCATTTCCATCTTGGTTGTCTCAAAATAAATGTAAGATTTCCTTTGTTGGCAATGTACATTCCAACATTACTTGCTGCCCTTTCGTTGTCACTATAAGATAAGAACCACATTGACTTTGGTCGACATGATTCCTCCATTTTGTCTTTACTAGGAAACGATTTAGATGATTTGGCTTACAATCAAGCTCTTTCATCAAGAATTGCATTTATTTTGGGATGACAAGAGTACTACGAACAAAGAAGACAGGGTCAAACCATACATCAATGGAGATCCTATCACCAAGAATATTTGAAGGTAAAGGTACTTCATGAAGGGAATCCCCTTTTATGATCCAGCTACGCAAAGAATTATCCTGTATAAAATGAGAGAAAAAAGAGGAGGCCCGTAAGTTTTGCTATGAACAACGTTGAAAATGCAGGCTTAAAGAAGTAAAGAACCGCTTTATTTTTTAACAAAATGAAAAGAGAATCAGTCTTTTCTACATTAGCCATCTCTTTTCCTTTATATGTGAATCATCGTCCATAACCAATATTAGGGAAATTAACAATAGTAGCCATTTTGGTAGAGAAAATTTACCTCTAAGCCGTTTCTCTTCCTCTTACCTTTTTCAACAAAATCACCACCTCAGCAAGTAACACTTTCTCAACTTCCGGAGGGGCCAAAAATTAAAATAATAACAATTTTCTGAACAGGTCTGCAAAATGGCTATTTCTGTTAATTTCCCCCAATATTATTGTTTTTAAAATCTATAAGACCACAATTCAGTTCATTAAGCAAACAGTTTGAATCTCATTAGCTAACAGGAAATCTGTCTAATTTGCCGTCATACTGGCGAATTCAATTGTACTTTGTAACTATACATGTTTATATATATTTACACAAGATTTCTTATGTTGATTGTGTTGTTTTTGTGAACTTCTGTATAGTTTATTGATCCAAAATTTTCATATGAGATACTCAGTCAGTACCTGGCTACAACTGTACAAGCAGTGTCCATCATAAGCCCAAGCCAAGCCTGTAACCTGATTCACCATCAACAAATGAGGAAAAAAACGATCCATCACTTAAGAAAATTTATGCTCATTAATTGCTATTATAAGTTGAAAAAGCTTACGATCTGGTCATGTGCATAATGTGAACTAAGTGCATCAAATTCGCCAGTGGACATGTCGTAAGTCGATACTTCCAAAGATCCAGAACCTTTGCCAACAGCTAACATTATCTTGTGTGGAGAAGTATCTGGAACAAGAAGTGAAAGTACAGAGGTGGGACCTGACCCACCATCTATAACCTACTTATATTCAGAAAGAATGTTAAACGGTGTTCCTTTGAAATCAACGAGTTTATAAAGTACAAAAACACTGACCTCCTTCAACTCTGAAAACAAAGCATGACCATCTTCGGTGGGCTTCAGCAGGTCATTGGTATATCCCTGCCATACTTTTACACTGAAAATGCGAAACGACTAAATCAGGTCATGAATTTGGGGAATTTGGGCTTTTATCACACGAAAGACCCAACCCATATGGTGTCCAAACCCATTTTTAAAAAAATCCTAACCCAACCCGTGCTACAACATCATAGAAATCAAATTTGACCAAGTTACATAATTTAGGTTTAGATTGGTTTTTCCAGAACCAACCCAAGTTGCATCCTTAACGAATAGCTCATGATAAGCAGATTCGGTCAAACACTCTCATCAAACTGTCACGTGAAAGGTTGCATTTATTTTGGTCAAAGAGAATGCATGAAATTATTGAAAGCATGATTATGCAAAACAAAAACTCTAGAAGCATTCGAGTCACCAACTCATCTAAATGCCTAAACCAATAGACGAAGGCCCAACAAAAAGATGGACAAATCTATGGAATCACAAAAAATTACCACCAAACTCATCATAGTTGCTTTTGTAAAATGGCCCAAAATTTGATGCATGTTCTCTCCCATTAGAAAAAATGCCAACTTCAACAATTTTTCATTTTCCTAGAAGTAATATGTTTCATCAAATGTATCATACAAAATAACAAACACGGACTAATGATGCTTTACGAGCATACTAAGGGGCTGTTTGATTGGTTTTCCGTTAAGTTTTGTATGGATAAAGCTGTGTGTGTGGATTAATCTGTTTGTATAGATTGAGAGTGTTTTTGTTGGGAAGGATTTTTTAGTATAGACAGAAAAAGCGTGTTTTTAATTGGGAGGGGCATGCTTGTAAAAACCTTGGCTTTCTGCATAAAGCTCCCGCCTAGAAGCTTAATGAAATAAGCCACTTTCTATATCATTAAGCCACTACCAAACAGTCATATATAGCTCCTTAAGCTGCTATCAAAAAGACCCTAACTCACCTCCCATCAGAACATCCTGTAGATAATAGAAGCTGAGGCGATCCATCAGACACAAACTTCGACCAACTGATTGCGGTGATCCAAGAATTGTGTGCTTGGATAAATCCAATGAGTGATGCAACATGTGGCTTGCTTCGCTGTGTTATGGAGTAGCATTCCGGTTCTTGGACTCTCCAAAACGAGATTCTTCCGTTTTTGGCGCCAATGGCAAGTATAGAGCAGCTCCCTGATGAGTTGCTATGAACCATCGGGGACCAGGCAAGAACAAGCGATGATAGCATTGCACTACGAGAAGAATACTGTTCTGCCCCTATTAAAGAGAGATTGTGGTTTTCTTGTATATTTTGTTTTCTGTTTTTGCTTCTGGTTCCTAAATTTGCAACTGGATAATCATCATTGTGTCCTTGCTTTACCAAAAACAAAAAACCAACAAACAGAACAAAACAGATAAGGGAGTTGAGATAGGTATGATGATGATAAGAGAGCAAGTTACCACATATTCAACTTACATCTGAAGACGAAACATCAGCCTCGCCATATCTGATTTTTGCAAAATAAGTAAGCAATATTTCAGATAAATCCATAACCTACAAAGAGAATAGGAAGCTCAACTCAATAAAGCCTTTGGTCTAGATGAACATCATAAACTACTGAAAATCATAAAGAAAAACAGAAGACGACCCAACCTAAATGGAACTAAAAAGAAAAAGTACCAGAAATTACTTGAAGTTCTATTTGTTCAGACCATGTAACATTTCAAATTTGTTCTGTATTATGTGATGCATGGAGAAACGCATCTATCCGTTGACTATTTCTTTCAATTTCTCGCAGTTGACCAACCACCCCCTCCCCCCAAAAAAAGATTCCTATATTTTATGATTTTGGATCTCTAAAAATGTGGGATTCTCATAATGATCGTCTCTTTTGTCTCCTCCACTTGGAGCAAACTTGGATCCGACCCCTCTATTAGATGAAAAAATGGAAAATCATGAGATGTGAAAACAACCTTATGAAATGAAGTCATGGAAGTGACAATAAGAAAGTTATTCATAAATATATATATATATATATTTATATATATATATGTATATATATATATGTATATATATATATATGTATATATATATATATGTATATATATATATGTATNTATATATATTTATATATATATATGTATATATATATATGTATATATATATATATGTATATATATATATATGTATATATATATATGTATATATATATATATGTATATATATATATATGTATATATATATATATGAGGGGCCTTCATGGGAGATCCTCACATTTTGTGAGAACCATGAGATCCCATCTAAACCACAAATCATATTTAATCGAGGGTTAATATCATAAAACTCTTTTGGTAATTTTGACAAATAATTTAAATCAAGAGTATCGTGGGTATTTTGCAAATCTCTCCCTCTCCACTCTGTTGACGGAAGATTCCATGCAAACACAGTGAACACCTCATTGTGAACACATGTTTTAAAAACACATTGTGAACAACTGTTTTAATACACAGTGTGAAGACCTGTTTTTAATTAAACATTGTGAAAACCTGTTTTAATACACATTGTGAACACCTTTTTTAATTAAACATCGTGAACACTTGTTTTAATACAAGATTGTGAATAATTGTTTTAATTCACATTATGAACAGCTGTTATCGTTTTCAGATCTAAAACAAAAACCATTTTATTGAAATACATAATCCCCATATCTAAAACAAGTCGTCCAAATACTCAAAGTCATAGAAGATAAGTTGAATACATGAAACCCCAACAAACCGAACCAAAAATTTTTGAAACAAAATACAAAAATGAAGATACTGGTATTGATGAAAGTGAACCCTACAAACCAAACCAAACACATTGGCAGCCGTCCAATGTAAGGAGGCATCGTTGAAGGACTAGCTGTCGAAGATAATAGCATCAGAACAGGTGTTTTTAAGGTTAATATTAGTGATGGAAATGTTGGTGGGGTTTTGGATGAGGGTAGTGGTGCGTGGGTTAGAGCAGTGGCGGAGGTTGCCGTAGATCATTGTTTTGTTGGGGTGAAAATAAATGAAGGGGTTGGAGGAGAATAGAAGAGAAAAGAGGATAAGAGTGAGGATGGGTACACCATGTAGACAAAGAACAATGGCTTCACCAAGTTCCTCCATATGGGTTAAACTCTTCACCAAGTTCCTCCACACACCGTCTCCCTTCATAGCCATGTCAACCCTAAGGCTGCGTTTGGTACATGGGCAGAGCCAACAGGACAAAACTCACTGTCCCATGTTTGGAGCAACATGGGACATGACAAGAACTCACTGTCTCACGTTTGGCATGACATAGACACGAACAAGAACCGAGACAAAGTGGACAGTGTGGTACAAAAAAGGCTTTTTCTTGTTCCACCAAAATAGGTGGAACAAGATGGGACAAGAATGAGAGAAACTAAATATTACTAATTAACCCTCGTTTGATAAATAACCTTAATATGGCATTTGTTTTAGTGGTCACCACCACTAGTCGTAGCCGCCGCCACTGGTAGCCACCGCCGGTCATCTCCACCTCCTCTTCCACTAAAACAACCTCCTCCACCACCTCCACAACCACCGTCCATATCCACCTCCACAACCACCGTCGCCCACCAACCACCATGGTCCATCGCCGCCACCACTACCACCGTTGACCACCTCCACCTTCTCCTCTACCACAACAACCTCCTCCACAACCACCGCCGCCCACCTACCACCACCATTCATCGCTACAACTGACCATCACCAATCATGGCTACCACTGACCACCACTGTTCATCGCCATCGCCACCACCACTACAATCTTCATTGTGCCTTCGTCAATTAATAAGGATCTTCCGAACTGAATAATACGAATCTGATTTTTTCAAACTACCATCAATTATATCAATTTTTTCATTCAAATTTGGTACTATTATATATGTGCGTATTTGTGTATATGAAAATTGTATAAAAATGCTTATAAATTAAATTATTTACTTTATTTGTGTTAATTATAACTATAATATGATATATGAAGTCATCAAATTAATTTGGGGGCAATTTGTTTAGTTCTGTCATGTCCGGTCCTAGTCGTACAAAACACCAGATAGACACTTGTTCTGTCCAATCGTACCCTCTTGTCCAGTCTTGTCCAGTTTTGTCCTGTCAGTCCTGTCCAATCATGTCTATGTGTCAAACGCTACCTAAAGACCCCCTTCACCGGAGATCTTTTCATCAGCAACTTTATCTGCTTCAAACAAATCACCAGAGATCCCCTCTCCTCTCATTCTGCATTGGAACCTAGAATATGTTGTCTCCATTAACTCCAAGTTGTGTACGTCGTCTTCTCCGGGTTCCTCGTTGATTTTCTTGGTCCTAGTGGTGCATATGAGCTTGCTCACGACGAAGGAGTTCGATTTTTGGAGATGAGACCGAAGGTGGGTCGGTGACACTACTACAGAGTTCAATGTGGGCGATAAGACGATGATGAGGAAAGGAGAAGAAAACTGCTAGGTTAAAGTTTTAGGGACAAAGGTTTGATGATTCATCGGTTTTAGGGACTATTCATGAAAAAGTCAAATAAATAAAATGCTTTGATGAGTTGCCATAAAAATCAAATTATTAAATTACCCTATCCTATTTAATTAAATCAAATGAGTGGTTTATATTGGATCTCATGGTTACCACAAATGTCAGAAATCTCATTTGATAAGGCTAATGAAGTTGAGCAAGATGATATTACTAGAGTGGGGGCCATCCTGGACCTTGAGTCTCAGTCGAACAAGGACAGTCAGGATTTTATTGATAAAGTAACAAAGACTTTACCCTAAAACTTGGAAGAATTAGCAGTATGTTACACAAATGCATATTCATCTTATCTAACCTTGCTAAATTAGTGCATGGAGAAACAATTTGTAATCTTCAATCCATTTATTAAATGTTAGAATAAATGGGATGGCCCCATGAATAGCGTAAAAAGCTACCATCTAAATTATTAAGATATTCTGATGTACACGATAATAAGTTAGACCGGTGCATACCTCTACCCACTCTGTAGAAAATTCATGAAATGGGGAGCGATAAACCTTGACCACTCCTTCAGTGGTGCAAACAGCAAGTAAACACCTACAGAGATATAAAATCAGCACAAAGTTGGGCTTTAATAGGGGTAAAAACTCGTAAAGTTAAGCATCATTTTTACATAATGAAGTTCATACCCAGCATTAGAAGCCAATCCAAGTGGAGACCATGATATTGAACGTACACAAGGGCGAAAGTCACGGGACAAACAAATAGGCATCATACAATCAGAGAGCAAATCTGTGAACATCCCACATCATACAATTATTAGTAACTGAAAATTGGGCATGGAGTTCCAATCCCATCAATCAAAACTACATAAGATGATTATTCAAACTTGGCAATTGTGACAAATCTAGTACAAGAATTCCTCAGACATTCAAGATAAGCTTTGTTGTAGACATTTATTATATTAATTTTATTGAAAATTTACATATTCCATAAATGTACCTTCTACACTAGAAGTCGACACAATTATGGCAATATGCGAAGGAACACCTACCTAGATTGAATTTGCTACTCCTTCCATCACATGAAAGAACATTTTCATTTTTGGTCAACTTCCAAGTAAAAATGACCCATTTACCAATTATCATTGCTACAAGTAACTTTAAATATTTGACATGTTCCCCTCGATCTCTATGTCAAGTCGATCGTTGCAACTATTATTGTGAGTGAGTATAAATTTAAGCTTAAAGTAATAAATAAACAAATTGAACAAAGCTGCAACCTACAAATTCACACGCACCTTTTCTTTCTATAACTCCAATTGGAAGAGGTTTGCCGGTGGGAATTATGATCAAACCTTTAGGTCCAAACAAGTCCGCAGGGTTCTTGCAAATGATAAACAATTATGTGAAAATGCTAACGTTAGAAAAGGTTAGGATTTGAACGATGCTTGTAATAAAAATGCCATTAATAACAACATTACCAAGATAGTAACCACGTGTCCAGAGGCGACTGCAACCAAGTTCTCATTGGACCATGCTACCGCATTTGGGTATGTAGGTGAAGCTACAAGTGGCACCGCCTGGAACCGTGTGGCCGTTACTAAGGCCAGCTAAAACAAAAAATTTGTGTTCACAATTGTAAGTTCGAATAGAGGAAGTTAGCATAGAAAGTGCATCAACCCACTAATCAACAACGATATCTATAATTTGAAAAAGCAAAATGCATACATAAAACATACATACCTACATAAATTAATCGAAATAACATAGTTCAACTTCAAAAACTATTTGAGAATTCTTGTCTCTACAAAACTTTTTCGCAAGCCCTAGGGGGGTCCCTTCCGGAAACAGCCTTTTTACCCCCTTGTGGTAGAGTTAAGCTCCGCATACATCCTACTCCAAGAATTTGTTTTCGAGTGATATATATTGGGTACGTTTGGCTTGGTTTTACATTTAGACTTTGGTATCTCGATAATCATAACTCATAATTAGTGGATTTCAAATTCCAAAAGTGATATGAACTCCTTCACGTTTTAACGCCAATTCTTTTGTTTGTGGTACTTATCAAGTGCTGTAATCATTATATTCAATTATTTTCTCAAAAGTGCAACAGTTCGTATCTATATCTCGTCCTTAACATTGCCGTTCAACCAGCAATCTTGCATCTTAAAAAAATTCTTTTAAGAATGTGTCAAGTTAAACTTGGTCCTAGATCGATGCAAACATGTACCATTTGCCAATTTAATTAAGAAAGCTGATATTTCTCTGAAATACACATTAAATCAAACTCTGACCTTACTAGAACATGATAGTTTACTCAAGTCTCGAAAGCACTTGATTACGAAGTAAAATCATGACCGACCCATTTATCCCAAAGATGACATGTTAAAATTCCAAAAAGAAATACACTAAACCAACCTATGGCAGGCTGGAGAGTGTAGGGACCTGGAGATTTCGATCAAACTAAAAATTCAAGTACGCAACTGAAGAAAATGCTGCAGTAAGAAGAAATAAGTCAAACTTATGCACCTCATGATCAATCGGACTACTTGGAAGTAGAGCATTATCAGTTCCATGTTCAGGTGGGCACATCGAAGATCTTTCAACTAGTTTCTGTTTCTTCGAGTGTTGTTCTTCAATGCCTGTAGTATTTTCCACACCTTGGCGCTTCGTTTTCATCCGATTTTCGCACAGGAATCTCAATTTTTATGTGCTGAAACAATACAAAATCGATTCAATAGCTTCTCGAGGCCGGAAAATTCCCTAAGAGAATTACGATGAAGCTTTTAGGGTTTTGTTTATGTTCCTTTTGCTGGGAGTTGTCCAATGCTGAATGATTTGGTGCAGAATTACTAAGTGGTCAGAATGATTAAGAGACTCTACGATTTGCTAAATGGTTTGATGCAGAATGGTTAAGTGGTTAGAATGATTAATATAGTGCAGAATGAAATATGGTTGTTTGGTAGTTGTTCTGAATGGACAGTCTGAATGACAACAAATTACCATTTTAACCTTCTGGATGATTTAGTTCTAAATGAAATATAGTTGTTTGGTAAATATCTGAATAAAAACAATTACTTTGAATAAAACAATTACTTTGCAAGTGGGAAAAGAGGAGTGAAAAGCAGATATATAGAGAACCGGAGAAATACCCTGGCTATGATTTGTATGTGTCTAGATTCTGAGTTGGAATGACCATTCCTTTGTTCTCGAAAAAGAAAATACCAGAATATATATATATATATATATATATGATCAACATGCTAGGAGAAAGGCTCACAGAAACAGATGGGTACAATAAAGCCTACATGTTAAGGTTCAATGAAGACAGCATGAGTCACAATGTGCAACCACAGCCGAACAACTCAAACTTAGAATCATAAAAAGGTTTAGATAATCATTCAAGCATAATATTATAAGAGAAAAACAGTCCAGGATTTGTAAGGTAAGGAACATCGATCTTTTTATGTATGTAAAGGTGTTTAATGATAAATAATATGTACATCAAGCAAACTATTTTAGCTTCATTAATTGTGATCATTGTTTTGAAGTCATCAACAACTAGATTCACTAATTCAACTAGTTTTAGTTTAATTATTTTGATAACAGTTGCAAAGGCATTTACCAAAGCCTAAAGCCTTGGTTTGTTTTGCAGGGTTCATTCCACTCCCCAACTAAAGGGATAAAATGTTTGCATGTTGTCCTGTATTGGGATTGAAATTGCTTTAGGATGTTTGGTTGTTGGTTGATGTGTAAGTGTTTTATATAAAGCAACAAAGAGAATATGATAAGAGAGCACATGAGATATTCGCAATAAACAGTATACCATCCACCAGAAGCATATATAGGCGCATAATAGAATTGCAAATAATTTATCAGTGCTACCTCTAGGACAAATCATATGCCAAGGTTATGTTGTGTGCTTACAAAACATAGTGATTAACCGGCCCAGACTACCTACAGTTTGTATTTACCAAAATCCAAAAACCATGGAACCAACAGGAAAATTGACTAACCTGGTACTCAATTGCAATCCGGTATAACCGCTTTAAGCCCTCCTTGCCAGAAATCATAAAACCCTAACACCACAGAGCATCAAGATTTATTAAAAAAACCTAAAAGGGATAAGGTGGTGACGATACAGCCAATGCTTTTCTAAATTCCAGGTGATCACAATTTGGAACCCAGTTAATCTCATACAAAGATAAGGTCTAGGGGAATAGGATGTAGGGAGACATTGTCTCTACCCCCAAACGTTAGAGAGGTTGTTTCCATGATCTTATGGGAATGTATAAACCAAACAAACCCTGTGTGTAAAATCCATTGATTGCTTGCATGCTTGCATTTGCTAATAGTGTAAGTTATCGAGACATTGATTCAACTTGATATTTTAACATTTTTAACTATCATGGTGTGTGAAAAATAATGGGACACTTGCAGAGCTTGGCTCAGGATGTTACAACTATTTAGAAGTTATATAAACCCAAAAATGGATAGAGGAATTGTTCGATTACTTCTGTTTACTAAGTTGCTGAAGGGAAGGCAGTCACTGTCTATAGGCCAAAGTTGCACATCTACACGAATTCCATTTCATTGTCAACATATTTCGTCTAGATATGCTTGAATTGGTTCGTAGCAATATCGAGCCATGGTTTTATCAATTGATTGTTTCAACAGGGGCAAACACAATCAATGCACACACAATCGATTATGAATTGATGGTTTAAACCAGATGCAAACAGATAAAAACAAATGTAAACACCACATTACAAATCGATGGTTTAAAACAGATGCAAACACAATCGATGGTTTCAACCAGATTACGAAATAATCAACGATGTTTATGAATCGAATAAAGAAATAAATCGATTGTGAGAAAGAGAATGATTCGATTAATGAGAGATGTACCTGAAGAGCAGACCAAAGAAGAGCAGGTGTGAGAGAAGGGAAATTTTGGAAAAAAAATAGGGCTCTGAATGGTTTCGGGAGATCCTTGATAAAAAATCGATCAGAGGTTACATAACCGTTAAGAGGCTGGGTTTTGTATGCCAAAGAAGATTTAACTCATAACAATGGAAAGTTTTCTTAATGAAACTATTAAAAGGCAAACAAACAGTAAAAAGAAAAATGACTGTTTGACAAATATTCTGAAATAATAGTCGGAATGAAAGAAAATTACCATTTTAATCCTCTGTATATTTGTATTGAATAAAATATAATTGTTTGGTAAGTTTTTTGAATCAAACAATCATCATGCAAATATATAACTTTACAAATATTAAATACAAAAAAATACAATAAGTGCATACATATATAATTTTATTTTCATTATACATGGAGGTATGGAGTACAAATGCTTGAACGATCATTCTCTCAAGAGAGTCATGTTATGTGGCCAGTAGAAAAATTTTCAAGTGGTGGCATAATTTAATTATAAAAAAATAAATATGGATATTTTCACAAAATGATCATCGGTTTGTTGGTTAGTTCATTGTTTTTCATATGTGAGGTCCTATGTTCAAGTCTTTTATTGCAAATTGTTTTCAAAAACATAATAAATCTGAAATTAAAAGCTAAAAACTAAGAAAATGACACTAACGGGATTCAAACTTGGGTCTAGGGTGGAAGAAAAGTCTTGCAAACTAACTCTACCAAGGAAAACTTGTGCTCTCACTGTAGTTTAAAAACATATACGGTGGCACACAACAAATTGATACGGTGGCACTTTTCACGACCCTATAATTTTTACACTACAACGAAGGAACAAAGAGGTGGCTCGTGCCACCACTTAAACCACCTAGGTCTATCCCTGTATGTGGCTCTTCTTATTATTGCTCTCCCTGGAGTATATATAGGAATACAAATAAAGAGGCAGCTCCCCTGGCAATTTCAGTGCGTACTCGATCAATTCCTGGTGGATAGTAATGTTCATAGGCAATCAATCATTTACAATTTCATGTGTTTAGAAATCCCAGAGCCAATTTTACAACCTTGTGGAGTCCTTTGACTTGCCAAACTAATACAAGGGTTGTACAAAAGTAAATTGCCAGAATGTCATGTTTCATTGTCTCCTACAATCTAAAATGTGCAGCTAGAATTCAACAATTTTGAACGTAGACAGCCAACAAGGCCGAATCCACATTAGAGAGAGACGCATAAGCGTCGAACCGAAGGTTCAAGTAAAATGATATTATATAGGGGTGGGCTAAATGCACCCCTATACATTACTTAATGCACCCCTATCCATGAATTTCTTCCTCACACACATCAACATCAATACATGCTTTTTACATTCCCAATGCTTGAATGACCTGATTCTGACATCAAAAAGGGTGCCATTAGCACTCCCCATTATATAACATAGAAAAAAATAGGCTTCAAATCACATATATTTGTAAAAACACTTGATGTGATGTGATGTATATTTGTAAAAAACACTTGATGTGATGTGATGTATATGCAAGCATACACACCACAACCTTCTGGTTCCTCTCAAAAACCTTAGCTTTATAACCCCCAACAACATACATCATTATTCTGCATTATAACAACAATAATAGACCAGAAGCAAACCCCATATGAGCAAGCCAAGAAAATAGACAACATACAAATTCTCTTAAGCATTTCATCGACTAGGTAGTAGACGAACTTTAAGTAAAATTTTGATGAAAAGAATACCAAGGATGTCGAACTTACGAGTTAAGTTTAGGAACCAAGAAATTAAGAAGACATAGAAGAAGATGTCCTCAACAAGGAAAGGGCCGAGATATTAACAAGAAACCTATATTGCATAAAATCATAGCGCATATAAAATATGTCCTCAACAGGAAAGGGTTCAAGTGGTATGAGATATCAACAAGAAATTAATGTGACATGGAAGAAGAAATTAAGAGGGTTTTTACCTTTTCTGATTATGGTGGAGAGAGGACGAGAAAGGCGAGAGGCTGAAGCAACATACTAGTAGATGGTCCGGCGATGGTGCGACGATACACACCGACGATGGTTTGGAGTTTCCTTTTATAAATTGCAAAAATCGTCCCAGGTTTATTTCGAATTTTGAAGGATTTGTCTCCAGAATTTTGAAATTACATTCACAACCCTGTCATTTGTATTTCATTCCGAATTTAATCCTTAGTCACCTTAGGTAGTGTTTGGTACGCAGACCGAATGAGACAGGACAGGACGGAATAGTACGGGACAGGACGGGACGTGACAAGACTAATTGTCTGTCCTATGTTTAGTACGACTAGAACAGGACAGGACAAAACTATTAAAATAACCATATTACCCCTAAATGTTGTTCAATGTTATTTTATATATATAATGATTGTAAAATGACAATAAATCAACCAAAATATTGTCATTTTAACTTTAGTCCCATGTTGTTCCACCTTTTTTGGTGAAACAAGAAATATCAAGATTTGTCCCATTAAATTAAAAATAGTCTCATCTTGTCTCATGTTTTTTTTGTCCATGGCATGCCAAACATGGGACTATTTTTTTTTCTCGTCATGTCCCATATAGTCTGCATACCAAACGCACCCTTATGTCGAGACTGGGACTTGCCCTATGGTCCGTAACCGGTTATGATTTTTATGAAAATTCAAGGCCCAACCCAAAGACCGGTTATACGCAAGTCTGGTTTTTTTTTAGATAAATAAGTTTTTATAAAGTATACATCAAGTTTTTCAAGATTTCTACAGGATTTTCAAGTTTTATTCACCAAAAACTTCAGGTTTATTTTAAGTTCTCCAAATTCTTATGGAAAATTTTCAAGTGTTTCGATACTAAATTTCAAAAATCATAGTTATAGAAACATGTACATTTTTTTGTGAAAAAGATTTAAAGTGTATTTGAATGACGTAAATAAAGATTTTAAGATGTATTTAAATAAGACATTGTCCAAAAAAAAAAAATCATCAAACAAATTTTTCTATATGTTCAAATTATTTTTTGGGAAAAAAAACTTGAGACCGATTTGGGACCAGAACCGGGACCGGTTCTAAGTCCCAATTATGGTTAGAGACCGGACCATGGATTTTTGGTCGAAACCGGAAGCGGTTATGAAAAGGAAATCAAGGACCACCGGGACCGTTATTGGCCATCTCTAAATTCCAATGAACGGGCATATCGATCATCGGTCCCCAAGCTTTGAAACCAACGTTTTTGCAATATTTTCTATATTCCGCATTCATTTTTTTATCCTATGTGAAAATTTGCTGCAACATAAGTCTGAACCTATCTATTACGGGTTTATAAGTATTTAAACTGTCTTGAATGGCTAAATTTATTATGTGTACACAACGTGTATGAAATAATTTGTTTAAAACAGATATCAAATGATACTTTAATTTTTTTTCACACGAAGATTGTTATTACTGGCGTTATCAAATGATATGCTAATTATTTTAGTTGATAAATTATAAAATGCAAGACATTTTTTTTAGTAATTGAAAATTGGTGTGCACCCGAATGTGGCGCACCAAACAGTTCAAACGCGATTACATGTTTGAATAAATGTCACGATGAAGGCTCAATCCAATGTGTTGTTATGCATATATAAGAAACCAACAATCCGTATGGTGCCCTCCATACATCACACGTTAAAAAAACGTTGTTAGGCAAAAGAGAAAACATTTGTTGCATTTCACCTCGACACGTTTTCCACGTTTTAATTGCATCACGTCTAAGGGTTTGACGATTTACCGGCTTGTATCGTGGTTATAGCGTTTTTTGAATCAACTTCGTAACGTGAGGGTTGTCGAAATGTCCGAAAAGCAACCCGACTTGAATGACACATTGTGTTGTCATTTGTCGGTTCAACTCGGCCTCATACGACCATATTTGACCTTGAGTGTCAAGTATCAGTAGGCTTGAATCGCCCCCTACCTCAGCCCCAGGTATGTTTTTTCGGTGTGTCGCCTTAAATAGGCATGGAAACGGGGCAGGGATGGGCAGGTTTTGTAATCTCCGACCCCAGTTTGTAGTAACACCCCTGAGGCCCGGCCCCGGTCCTCGGCAGGTACGAGGATTAACATCTCGTCCCCGGTCAAAATCCGGTCAATCCCCTGTCAAACCCCATGAATAATATTTGTTAGTTTGATTCTATCGGGGATCCCTGGGCCCGGTTTGAGTAACATCCCCCGCCCCCGGCCCCGGTTTGAGTCTATTGGAGATCCCTGGACCCGGACGAAGGACCCGTTTTAGCTGGGAATCCCCGTCCTCGTTCGGGTCGGGTGAACCGGGTTCCCCACCGGATCGGGGCAAATCATCATCTCTAGAATTAAAGTAGAATTTTCTTCTGCCATAAGGAGATCTTGGCACATTTTGCATTGTGCCTTTCTTTTCCCGCTCGTGAGGACCACCAAATTGTATGAATTCCAAATCTCGGACTTTCGTCCGTGTTTGGCGAGAACTTGGGCAACTTGCCCGTTTGATGCATCATGTTGTTCACCCACCATTGTGTAAGACAAGAGAGAAAGAAATGAAAATTATGAAGTGAAAACAAGAAATGAATACGAGTTGAAGTCACAAAATATAGCGAGAAACCGAGAATCGTGAACGTTTTTTTGCGATTTGTGAGTTGGTATGTAAACCCCTCAACCATGACACTTATATATAGTGTTTAGAAGACAGAAAAATACAAACAAAAAAAAAGTTCATATAACGGTCAAAAAAGGGCTATATTATTTAAAAAACAATCATTTAAAAAAATAGGTTGGGTCCTCGACCAGGGCCGGTCCTGAGATTTTTGGTGCTCACGGCGAAAAGTCCAAATGATGCCCAATTAAAAACATCCAAGTGTGGTAATTTACAATTGTCTAGCTTTTTCTTAGTAGACCAAGAGATCTATTAATGTTTTATGTTCATACGTGTGATCTTATAGTTGAGTGTTTGCTTTAAAATAATATGTTAAGGTTTCATTAATCAAGTTGTTATAGCCCTTGCATTTAAACGCCAACTCATCTACTTGT